AATCTCATGTTTTTACAATTTTTGATTGTGCAGTTTATTTGGAAATAGTAATGTGTTTGTTGGCAGACTGGTTGATATTTATATTCAGTGAAGTGCTGAGTACATCCAGCAAATCAGCTACGGTGCTTACGCTGATCTCACCCTCTATTTTTAAATTAAGCAGTGCATTGTCCTGTACGGTTACAGTATACCCATAACTATCCTGCAGCGTTTCTGTAATTTCTTTAAGGGATGCGTCAGAAAAAGAAATTTCGCTGGCAGTCCAGGTACTTACCTGCGAAGGCTTCAGCAGTTTTTTTGCCACCAGCATACGGCTGGCCTTGTATTCAACGTAATCGCCGGGTGCCATTATGATGGCTTTCTTTTCGGCTGATACGCCGGTATAGTCAATCCTTATTTTACCGGTAATCAGTGCAACGTTTGTTTTGCCATGACGCGCTTTTACATTAAAGGTGGTACCCAGCACTTCAATGTTTACATCGCCGCAATGCACAATAAACCGTTCTGCCGGCTCAATATGCGTGCTGTCTTTATTAATATGGGTTACGTTGAAATAGCCTTCCCCTTTTATCCATACTTCCCGGGTAGCATTCTTTTTCCAGCTTGTGTTGTAAGTAATGGTGGAATTGCCATTGAGGGTAACCTGCGACTGGTCGGGCAGTGTAAACGTTTTCACTTCTCCAAAAGCCGTGGTAAATGAGTATTGTTCAGGGCTTGTATTCCGGCTGACCAGCCAGTACGAGAAGCCTGCCACAATAATAAAAGCAGCAGCTATACGCATAAAAGCAGGTAATGAAAATACTTTTTTCTGCAGTGTTACCGCTGGCTGCTGGGCAATGGACGCTTCGATGCGCTGCCATACCTTATCCCTGCTGCTGTCATTGTGAAAATTCTCCTGCAAACGGTACTGACGTATGGTAGCGGCTGCCTTGTCAATGACTTCTTTTTTTTGCGGTATACTAAGAATAACTGCTTGCCAGTCAACAGCATTTGCTGCCTCCGGGTTAATGGCCCATTGAATGAAATCATCATCTGCAAGAAAGTCCTGTACAGTAAATTGCGCGTATTTTTCTGCGTTCATCAGAGAGGTATTTATACGGTTATACCATACCCCCTCAGAATTATCCCTTCAATTAAGAAAAAATTAAATTAAGTGTTTAATGCAGGATAAAATAGCCAGTAGTTGTGTTGGCAACATGATGTGCTGAAGATTTTCCAATGCTTTATAGAGCAGCTTATAGGCTGAGTTAATACCAATAGACATGATGTCTGCAATCTCCTCATACGAAAGTCCCTCGTAGAACCGCAGGTAAATAATTTCTTTCTGGCGGAGAGGCAGGGTATTGATGATGGCCTGCACTTTTTCACGGAATTGTTTTTCTTCTATGGCAAGACCGGCAGTAGTGGTATACGCTACTTCAAAGCCGGAAGGGTAGTCGGTATCGGTGATGGAAGTGAATTTATTTTCCGACTGTATTTTCCGTACGAGCGTATTGCGCAGCGACTTATAGAGGTAGTTTTTTACAGAAACAGGCTCACCCAGGTTTTCCCTTGAGGTCCATAACCGTACAAACAGGTCGTGGATAGCGTCTTCAATCAGGGTACTGTTGCGGGTGAACTTATACCCGTAATTATTCAGGATACTGTAATATTCGTTGTACAAACGGGTATAGGCATCCCAGCTGCCCTGTTTAAAGGCTTGCCATAGATTAGCATTGGCTTCATTTCTCATGGTGCAGTGTTGCGCTTGGTCATCAAACCCGGATAAAGATATATAATCAAAGCGGTTTATATTTTTACAGGATGCAGATAAATTGGTGTGGGGGCAGGGGATACACCAGGGCAAAAACTGTTAAACTGATTGTTTACGTGATGGTTATGCGCAAGATTCCTTGCTGCATAAAAAAATAAAACTGCATACATGGAGGTGAAAGTCGATCCCTTTCCGGCTATCTTTTGCCGGAAAGGGATTGGGCAGCAGTAAGTAGCCGGGTTAGGTTACAGCAATCGGGATAAAAAATACGGGTGCTGCATCTCTTATTAAAGTAAGCGGCATTTAATACAGCGACCGGTCCTGTAGAAGAAAGAAATTATATATTGCAGGTATAAGACAGGGCTTGGCGGCAGCAGCAGTCAATACTCTGTGGTAAAATAAAATTTCTGCAGCAATGAAAATAATGCCTTTCTTTTTCCTGTTGTTCCCTGTATTCACCGCTTTTTCACAGCCGCGGGTATATACTGTTGCCAATCTTCATTCTCACAATGATTATGAAAAGCCCTTCCCTTTTTGGGAAGCGTACAAGCAGGGCTTTGGCTCTATTGAAGCCGATATTTTTCTGCAGGGGGATAATCTGGTAATAGCCCATGATACCATACAGTTAAAACTGG